TACACCTCCCCAAAATGTACCCTGAAATCCACCACCCCAAAATACACCTCCCCAAAAATCCGCCTCAAAACACACCTCCCCAAAAATCCATCCCAAAACACGCCTCCCCAAAACATACCCCAAAACCCATCACCCCAAAATACACCTCCCCAAAATCCGCTGTCCCAAAATACACCTCCCCAAAAATCCATCCCAAAACACACCTCCCCAAAATGTACCCCAAAATACACCTCCCCAAAACGTACCCCAAAACCCGTCGTCCCAAAATACACCTCCCCAAAATCCGCTGTCCCAAAATACACCTCCCCAAAAATCTGCCTCAAAATACACCTCCCCAAAACATACCCCAAAACCCACCACCCCAAAATATACCCAATCATCTCAAAATAGACCTCCCCAAAAATCCATCCTAAAATACGCCTCCCCAAACCATACCCCGAAATGCACCGTCCCAAAACACGTCTCCTTCAGAACCCACCCCAAAAACATCCCCCAAACCCCAAAACATCCCCCCAAAATCCCCCCCCTGCCCCGCAAAAGCCGAGGCTGCTCCTCACCCGCTCCCTGCGGCTCCAGGTTCCCTTTGCCATCCAGGTAGGACACGTGCACTGCAGGATAGGGGGGGACAGGAGGGTTGAGACCCCCGGGCTGGGGGTCCCAGTGGGGTTGGGGAGGTTATGGGGGTCCCAGGGGGTCCCCACCTCTGACGGCCGTCTCGGCGCAGCCCTTGGGGATGTTGGTGGCCAAGGCCAGCTCCACCAGGTTCACCTCCCGGTCCTCCTGGAAGAACAGCTCGCCCTCCTTGATGGCCCGGAACGGCAGCGAGTCCTGCGAGCCGAACCCGCACACGGCCTGGAGGGGGGACACGGCGGTGACACCCCCGGAACGGCCCCGGGGACCCCCCCCGGGGACCCCCGACCCTCCCCCCCCCTCAAAGCCCCCCTGCCCACCCACCTCGACGTTGCTCCAGCGCAGGGCCCGGTTAAAATCCTCCACGGTGAGGCGGCGGCGCCGGGTGTGTTTGAGGAACTGCGAGCTGTTCTGGGACACCGGCAACGGGGTTCGGATCCGAACCGGGCAAGGGATTGGGATTGGGACCCGAACCGGGGTTGGGATCGGAACCGGGAGCGGGACCAGGGACGGGACTGGCACTAGAACTGGGATGGGAACCGGGGACGGGACTGGGATCGGAATCAGGGACGGGACTGGGATTGGGATGGGAACCGGGGACGGGACTGGGATTGGGATGGGAACCAGGGACGGGACTGGGATTGGGATCGGAACCGGGGACGGGACTGGGACCAGAACTGGGATCGGAATCAGAGACGGGACTGGGACTAGAACTGGGATGGGAACCGGGGACGGGACTGGGATTGGGATCGGAACTGGGGACGGGACTGGGACCAGGACTGGGATGGGAACCGGGGACGGGACTGGGATTGGGATTGGAACCAGGGACGGGACCGGGATTGGGATCGGAACCGGGGTTGGGATCGGAACCTGGGACGGGACTGGGACCAGAACCGGGACGGGAACCGGGGACGGGACTGGGATTGGGATCGGAATCAGGGACGGGACTGGGACTGGGATCGGAACTGGGGACGGGAGTGGGACCAGAACTGGGATTGGGATCGGAACTGGGGACGGGACTGGGACCAGAACTGCGATCGCTTCCGGGAGTGGGATCGGTAGCGGCTCCATCACCGGGACCATCCCCCGGGAGCGTTCCCGGGATGCCCCCCCCGGTGTCCCCCCGCGGTACCTGGGTGGCCTCCCGGAGCCGGTAACAAACGTCCTCGGCCAGCAGCGCGGCCACGTCGTCGCTGAGCTCGAGCCCCGCGCTCTCGGCCATCAACCGGACCGAGTCCCGCGGCAGCTCCACGAACCGCCGCTCCTCCCGCTCCGCCATCGCGCCGGGGGCGGGGCCAGCGCATGCAAATGAGGCGCGGCACCGCCAATCACATCGCCCCTCCCGGGGAGGGCGGGGACATGCAAATAAGGTAGAAGGGGGGATGACGGGAGGGAAGGCGACGGCGCGTGCGCGGAAGGGGAGGGGCAAAGGCGGAAAAAATGGGCTGATGGGAGTCGGGGGCGGGGCTATGCAAATGAACCAGAGACAGCTCGGAAAGGCGGGATCGACACCGATACCGGATCGGGATCGATCGCTCCTGTGGGGTGGATCGATAGGAGCAGGGGGAGGGGGGCAGGACCTCGCGGTTCCCCCCGCGCTGACCCCTCCCACCGTCCCTTTCAAATCCACCGCTCGCTTAATTTGCATGGCCACACCCCTTTTATCCGAACACCCCCTTCCTCCAGCCTGATTGACCGACAGCGCGGCGCGATTTGCGTTCGCTCCGCCCCTCCGGTCGATTTGCATAATCCGCGCGGGTTTTGTATCAGCGCCGCTCTGATTGATCGGGGTTCGCCACGCCCCCCTCCAGACCCCGCCCCCCTCCAGACCCCGCACTTGGAAATTCGGTGAAAACGTTTATTTTGCTGGGAAAGGGGCGGGCGAGGCCGGGGGTCACCCGGGGGGGGCTGGGGCAGCGCCCTACAAAAAACGGGGGGCTCAGGCGGGGGGAGGGGGGACACGGCTCCGGCCGAGGCCACACCTGGAAGAGAGCAGAGAGGTGAGGGGGGTACGGGGGGACACGGGGACAGCGGACACAGGACACCCGGACACGGGACACCCGGACAAGGGACACCCAGATATGGGGACACCCGGACATGGGAACAC